CTGGGGGGAGGGGCCCCCCGCCCCCCCAGCCACTCCAGCCCCAGGGATGGGGGCATTAGCACTGACTCTGGGGGGTGGTCACAGCCTAGCCCGGCAGGGGGGAGCCGGGCATGGGGTGCCAGCTGGGTGTGCTGGGTCCTATTACCCCACCCCAGCCCGAGCCTCTGTAGGGCTAATGTAACCCATGGAGGGGGGTGAACGTGAGCGATCGGGGGCATTTGTGCAGCGCCAGACGCCTCTGCCCGGTGTGCGGGTGCATGCACAGCCCCCCCCCAGCCCCCTTACTTGAGCATGGTGACGCCGTCGGTCGTGGCGGGCACGTTGTAGCGCCGCATGTACCCGTGCATCTCGGGGAAGCTCTTCTTGATGTACTCCTCCGCGCTGCTCTCCCACACGGTGCCGAAGCGGAAGCCCTGCGAGGGGTGGTGCAGCTGCAACGAGGGCGACCGCGCCTGGTGAGCACCACGGGCCAGGCCGGCCTGGAAAGGGGGCACCTCCCCGCCAACCCTTGCAAACCCCTGTCCTCTACACCCCCCACGCTGGGGGTGCCCTGCCATCTCCCCCCGGGGTCCTTGCTAAGTGCAGCACCCCCACTGGCCAGCAGGAGGCACTGTTGCGGGGGGCAAGGGGTATCCCCACCCCAATACCCCCAGTGGGGCATTGCTGCTTGAGACACCCTACGGCGGCAAGAACGGAGCCAGGGGCAGCCCCCCACCCCCCTACCTTGGGGTCGTGGATGCCCGAGAGCTCCTCAAAGGTCTTCTCGCCCACCATGACGGCGGCCAGGTTGGCCGTGTAGCTGGAGAGCACGAGGAGGCAGAAGATGGCCCAGAGGTTCATGAGGAAGCGGCCGGTCCAGCACTTGGGCGTCTTGCTGGACACGGTGCGGCCGAAGAGGATGGCGTAGCACAGGTTGAGGGCGGAGGAGTAGGAGAAGACCTTCCTGCGGTTGCGGCCATGGGGCGTCATGCCGTAGGGGCTCTTCCACTCATAGAGCGTGAGGAAGAGCGCCGTCACGTGCAGCGCCACGAAGATGCCCACCCACATGGTCCAGTGCAGGGGCCACATGAAGGCACCGATGGGCGAGGCCGTGTCCTTGGTCCGCACGAGGATGCCCAGGCTGGTGGAGAAGAAGGGGCTGGTGAAGTCGATGACTGTGCTCCGGGCCGAGTTGATGGAGAAGGAGGTGACGGCCATGTGAGCCGTGCCGCTCAGCAGGTCGCCCACCAGCCCGGTCCAGCGCCCGTTCTTCCAGGCGCCGTACTTGCCGTCGCCCACGATGTACAGCTCGAAGTCGAAGGGCAGGTCCTCGGCCAGCTTCTCCAGCAGGTCGATGCAGTAGCCGTAGCAGCACTTCTTGAGGGCCCGGGGCAGCGAGCCGTTCTTGGAGCCCAGCGCCTCGAAGAGGGTGTCCAGCACGGCCGAGTCATTGGTGTGGGGGTCCAGGCAGAGCTGCCCGGCCGGGCAGCTCCCGTCCTCGTCCACCTCCCGCGTGAAGACGAAGGGGTGCTCCACCAGCGTCACCACCCGCAGCCTGGGGCGGGAGAAGCCGTCCCCGTCGCCCGGGCTCTTGCGCTGCAGGTGGCTCTGCCAGGTGCCCTCCTCCACCGCCAGCTTGCCCTCGCGCCAGCTGCCCACGGTCACCCAGGTGGGCCGGCCCAGCGAGTCCTGCAGCAGGCTCCAGAGGCGGTAGTGCCGGGCCGTGTGCACCGCCGACGTGTCGTGCACCGACACGGGGCCCGTCTGCCCCTGGAACGACGTGTTGGCCAAGAACCTGGCGGGTGAAAGGAAGACCCTGTGAGAATCGGGCACACGCATGTCCCATGCACGTGTGCCCGGGCATGTAGCATTATGGCGCAGATCGGATACGTGTGCCCATGGCAGGGTGCTGGTGCACGGCCATGTGTGGCTGCATGGGCATGCGATATAAAGGGACGGGCAGCGCCAGGCAAAGTGTCCCAGCCAAGGCCACAGAGCCAGGCAGTGGCGAGGCTGAGAGCAGGCAGGATAGTTGGTGCCCCAGGGAAACCGAGGCACCGCATGGGTGCCCTCGCTCCCGGTCCCCGCTCCCCCAAGCTATGGGAGGCCAGGACTCCAGTGCCCAGGGACAAGGCAGCGCGTGCCCGCTTACCGGGAGAGGTACTCCCCCGAGGACGGGCCGGTGTCTGTGTGCCGGTCGTTGCAGTTGACCATGGTGTGCAGCAGCGCCAGGTCGGGCCGCACGTGCACAGCGCTGCCAATGGCCCTCGCCACCAGCTGCACGGCGTCCTGAATGAAGAGCTCCAGCGCCGGCCGGTCCACCTCCCCGTAGGCCAGCAGCCCCAGAGGCAGCCCCTCGGTCTGTAACTCCTCGGCGCT